CGTGCAGCTGAGTGTGAGGAGGGCCTGCAGCAGCCCTGTAGTCATCATCACAAAGCGGATGATGGAGAAGCCAGGTGACGAAACTGAGGCACAAGGAACTTAAGCAGTTTATATTAAGCTGTCCAGCTATTTTAGGGCAGAGCCAGGGTTTAAACTGGGGGGTCAGGCTCCAGAGTCTGGGCCCTTTCCCACTGAGTGGCAGCTCACAGAAGTAGAAACGAAAGCCAGACTGAAGAGAGAATGTCTCAGCAAGCAGGGCGGGCAGGGGAAGAAGAGCTGCGGAGAGTGCGCCCTCAGACCAAGGCCAAGGCCAGGGCAAATGCTGCTGCCTGGGGCAAAGCCGGGCTGGTCAGAGGACAACACAGCAGCACCGTTACAAGCAGGCGCCACTGCTAGGGGTGGAATTGTATCACCCAGAAAAGACAGGTTGAGGTCCTCACCCCTAGTACCTCAGAAAGTGACCTTGTTTGGAAATAAGGTGTCTGCAGATATCAATCAGTTAAGAGGAGGTCATACTAAAGTAGGGTGGGCCCTAATTCAATATGATTGGTGGACTTATAAGTAGACACAGAGAGAAGATGGTATGTGAACACAGACACAGGGAGAACGCCACAGCGGCAGAGGTTGGAGTGACGCATCTCCAAGCCAACGCATGCCTGGGACCGCCAGAAGCTAGGAAAAAGCAAGGAAGCCGTCTGCTTAGATTTCAGAGCGAGAATGGCTCTGCTGACACCTTGATCTCAGACTTCTGGCCTCTGGCACTGTGAGATAATTTCTGTTGTTTCAGCCACATAGTCTGTGGTACTTTGTTACAGCAGCCACAGAAACTAATACATCCACTTTCACATCCTCGCCAGCCTAGGGTGCTCAGGCTGACATCCGTGATGTGCCTCCAGCCTCTTACTGCCATCTTGAGTCTTGGAGGTATTTTATTGCCCCAATAGCCAATCAGCCTCACTCCCAAAATAGATGTTAGCAAACAGACTAGGATATATTTGGGGGCACTTGCCTCAGGTACGGGCAACAGCAAGCCTCCAGGAAGCAGTCAGCATTCACAGTCTCTTCCCAGGTGCCCTTGGATTTCCCAAAGCACCCACCCTGGGAACGCTCAGCCCAGCTGGCCCGTGGCTATCCTGTCCCTTCTCTGATGGCGCTTCTCCCTTTGCCACAGTGCCCTGGAGGTGAGGAGACCAGGACTGCTGGCCACTTGGAGGTCAGGAAATGGGGGGCCTTGACAGAAAAGATGGAGGTTTGCAGAAACTTGCACCCCAAACTGAGCCTTTTCTAAACTAGTCTGGTTGCATCAGTCACTGTTCAGCATCCACTGGAGCTAATTTAAGAAGAAAGGGATTCATTAACTATGAGTACTAAATAGCTCATAGAACCACTGGGAGGCTAAGTTAGGAATGATCCCAGTGCCATGCCCGGAGCCAGGCCACCAGGGGAGCTGTACCAGTCCCCAGCTCCAGAGGAGGCAGTGCTGCCACCTGGTCAGGAAGCTGCCCCGACCGTGGTTCACACCTGCAAAATGGACACCCAGAGCTTCAGGACTCCTGCCACAATTCCTCGTGGCAGCAGAAGCACAGCCTCTGCTTCAGTTCTGCCTTCTCACACTGGTACATTGGATAGGAAGAACTGGAGTTGAATTTGGAGTCCTAGCTGCAAAGGAGTCGGGAAGTACAGAAGGCACCCTGGAAGGGGGTCAGATATCCAAGCCATAGTGTATAATGAAGGGGAGACACTGGAGGGCACCCTGACCACCAGGGGTTTAGGGAAGATGGGCCTGCAGAAGTGGATGGCTGTTAGCCAGGCAGAGAGGATCTGATTTACATAAAAATCACCTGGGCAATATCAGGGTGCAGATAGCAGGGCCCCACCTCAGACACTGACTCAGTGGGACTGGAGCCAAGCCCAGTTTGCTGCCTTCTTCCCCTGTGATGCTCTTGATAAAATTCTCCAGTGTCCTTTAGGTATGTTCTGTTCTATTTGATCTTTAAGATAAACCTATGAAACAGCCCTGTCAGGTGTTCTTACCTTGTGCAGAGAAGAAAAAGGTGACACTCAGGGAAGTTACGCTACTTTCTCAGAGTTGACCAATGTGCTGAAGTGGGAGCCTCCGACCACCATCCAGACCCTACTCTCCGCTGCTTATTTCAATCTGATTAAGAACAGAAAAGCAGGAAGGCAATGGATCTGTACTAGGGGAGACCTGAATCCCAGCACTGGCCTTGCCTCAGCCCACTGCTGAGGTCCTGGGAAAGCCTCTTCACCTCTCTGACCCTCTGTTTCCTCATCTGTAAGGTGAGGTGGCTGGAACTCATTTGCAAAATTCTTCTTATTATTATTGCAATGGGAGCCTTCTTTCAGGATAAGTGTTCTGTGTATCTATAAATCAGACAGAATAAAAGCAGAGCCACCGTGGTGGCCTCAGGAAGGATCCAGACACCCCCACTCGACCCCCCCCCCCCCAGGACATCCTTGTGTGTGGCTCACAGGGCTTCAGCCCCCAACAAAGGCCAAAGACCCTTTGCTCTAGCCTTCTCTCATCATTGCAAACCTCGTCTGCACAGGAAGAGCAGGGGGATGCTGTCTCTGGGAGTCCAGGGTGCCTGGATGTGGGGAGGGGTGGGAGAGAGGGGGAGGGACGCTGGGTATTTAGGAAACAGAAGAATTGGCTTATTGACCAGTGGGCCACCTTGAAGTAAATATGTTCAATGTGGTCCCCATTCTGCTACCTGTTTCCTACATGGAAAATCTTACATCCTGACAACCAGCAGAGAGATATTTGCTTGAAATGAAATAGAGCAGTTTTGAAAAGTAGGGAGAGAAGCCCATCTGGAGGACAGCGGAGGCATCCACCCTTCTGGACCTGGGCAGTACGTGGCCTCGGTAGAATGCCAAGCGCCCCGCTCCCGGTAGAGCGGCACTCATGCGCATGCGTGCGCGTGTTCTCACAGGGGTGCCGCGCGGCTGTGTTGCGGCTCCCCTGCCCCCCTCCAGCACATGGCAGGTACCAGAATGGGCACATCCGGGGCCCGTGCAGAGAGCACCTTCCTGATTGGGCTGGAAGGAGCATAGCTGGAGGAACAAGTCGAGGTATCCCACCCGCCAGTCCACTTACACAAAGACTTTGAGAAAGCTCTGAACAGCTTTGGTGGAATCACCTGAGTTAATATTGCTGTTTGCCGTTATTCACAAGGAAGTAAAGAAAGTGCGGTTCAGATCAGTGTGGATCCGGACCCTCTGCAGACTGTCTGCCTGCTCTTGGTTATTACCTGACGCCAGAGGCGTTCCATGCGCCTCTTCTGAAATCAGGCCAAACCAAGGGCCTGTTGAAGGCAGAGTTCCCAGAAGGCGCCTTCTGTTCGAGCAGAGGGGCAACCTCGGATGTGTCTTCTGGACAAGGCCGCCACTTGCCGGTGGAGAGGCAGGCAGTGACGGCGTCCGTGGGAATGGCCCTTCTCAGAACCTGGCGTTTCTCCTTTCTTTGTCTTTGCTAATGAAGATCATTGCCTGCCGCCAGCCAGAAGAGGCATCACCGATTGTCACAGCCCTTTGAAAGTGTACCCCTAAGGGGGAGGAATGGTGCAGCCCAGTCAGGGACAGTATTTAATTCAGAGTTAACAGGGTAAGGGCAGAGAGGAGCAGGGACGACCCAAGTACTCAGAAAGGGCTGGAGAAGCCAGTCATGAAGAATGATAGAATTAGAACAGGACAGGGGAAGAGGAGGAGGAACTCAAGGTTCAAGGAACTATTAATAATAGCTAACATTATATACATACAGTGAAATGTTGTTCGGTCTTTCAAAGGAAAGACATTCTGACACATGCTACGACATGGGTGAACCTTGAGGACATCATGCTAGTGAAACAAGCCAGTCACTAAGGGACAAATACTATATGATTCCATTTATATGAGATACTTAGAATACTCAAAATTATAGAGACAGAAAGTAGAATGGTGGTTGCCGGGAGAAGAGCATGAGGAGTTGTTTAATGGGTATCGAGTTTCAGTTTTACAAGATGATAAAAGTTCTGGAGATGGATGGTGGTGATGGTTGCACAACCATATGAATGTACTTATTATCACTGAACTAGACACTTGAAAATGGTTGAAACCGTAAATTTTATGTTATGTGTTTTCCCACATTTAAAAGGGTAGCTGAGGTTTGTTGAGTACTTGCCGTGTGCCAAGCGCCCCACAGAGCACTTTCCTTCTCCTGTGGTTCTCGAAATCACTGTGCAAAGGAGGCACCGCTACTGCTTTTATTTTTATTTAAAAAAATTTTTTTTTCATTGATACTAGAGAGAGAGGGAGAGAGGTAGAAACATCGATGAGAGAGAACATTGATTGACTGCCTCCTGCATGCTCCCCACTGGGGATTTGGCCCACAACCTGGGCATGTGCCCTGACCGGGAATCGAACCAGCGACCTCTTGGTGCATGGGTCAACACTCAACCACTGAGCCACACTGGCCAGGCACCGCTACTGCTTTTATTTTACGGCTGTGGAACCTGAGGTTTGGCGTCGTGAAATACGTCTCCCACAGCCAGGCGGCTAGTGATGATTAAGTGCGGATTGCACCCAGGTCTGTGCCAGTCAGATTGCAGTGTGAGTGACAGGTTGAAACACAGGACCTGAAAGAGGGACTTCCCTTGCTTCCAGGCACTGACCTCTGAAGGTCAAGAGGCCAGTGTTTCTGAATGTCACTGGAGAGAACATCGATTGCCTCCTGCATGCCCCCCACTGGGGATTTGGCCCACAACCTGGGTATGTGCCCTGACCGGGTCCTGCTAAGAGCAAGGACTTGGTTTCCCCCTCTCTTCAGTGGCCAGGGCCTTGTTCCGGCTCCTGGATTCAGCAGAAGCCTTGTTGTGGAGCTCACTTGGGTTCCCCATTGCATGGTGGTGTTGGAAGTCGTCTGCTGGCCACAAATTGCATATACGTATTGCTCAGGACCCTTAATGTGAGGAGTGAGCTTATTGCCTGATCTGTTGCAGACCACAGTGATCGACTACGTGAAGCCCTCAGACCTCAAGAAGGACATGAATGAGACCTTCAAGGAGAAGTTTCCTCACATTAAGTTAACGCTCAGCAAAATAAGGAGGTATGTGGGGATCGCCATCCGCTTGAACTTGCCCTTCAGCCCCCTCTCCCAGCACACGTGAAATTCACACTTTGGACTATGATTCACGTGCAACGTGGGCACGTGCGGCAAAAAGCGGCTCGTGAGATGCTGGCTGCTGGGTGCGTCTGTGAGAGCCAAGGGAAGCCGGGCGGAAGGCAGGTCTCTTACATGAGCTGACAAGGACCTGGGGGAGGAGCCTTCAGTGAAAGAGTCATTTCATGCTGTCTGAAGCTCACCAGTTCAGGACGATTTATGTTATGGAAAACACAGGGAGAATAGGAAACACTGGGTTCCTTGCTTTCTCAAATGTAGACAAAACAAGAGAAAAGAGTATCGTAGGGACTGAGATAACTCTTTACCCACAATCGTCTGCCCAGAAGTGACAGCCAAGTCCTATCTGTAAGGAGTCAGCAAAGCAGCCAAAGCAGAGTCAGGCCTGTATTTCCTCTGCAGCCGATTGGATCCACTCTGCGGTGACTCATGTCTGCCAGCCAGATAGTCCAGAGGACTGGCCTGGCTGGGCTGCAGAGAAACAGACTTATGGTACTTGTGAACCAGGACAGCACGTGGGGCGGGGGGTAGTGGGGGCTAGACTATATATAACAACACAATGTTAGCATAAGTGCCAGCATTTATGTTAATACCGATTTGATTCAGTCATGTTTAGTTTGACAAGCCAAAGAGATAAGAAAAATTAAGTGTTCGTACTTTGTCCTCTTGCTGGGTAGCTTTGCTCACCCTTCTTCGGCATAAGTAATGAACATACAGTTATTCAGCAGAGCTGACACCAAGTACCTAACTTATTTCTGTATCCGTCTCTCTGGAATGACAGTCGTTCCTCTTAGAGTTTCCCTCTTTCATTTGGACAGCTCTCCAGGCTTCCAGAGAGACCCTCAGACAGCCACTAGGCTCCATGTGGTCCTTTGTGTCCCGCAGCGACTCGGTCTCTACAGTTTCACCGAGAAGAGTCTGAAGCCCCAGCGACTTGAGTCTATTCCTCACACGTTACATAACTTTCTCACTCACAGGCATTTAATCTCATTCCCCATCACCCTTCTGGGAATGAGGAAGGAAATGCTTTCTAGATTAAGTAGTCTTTTTCTTTGGGGTCCCTGCTACTCCAAGTTTGAATAAGACTTCCCTCCTTCCTGTCTTTCTCCAGTCTGAAGCGAGAAATGCGGAAGCTTGCTCAGGAGGACTGTGGCTTCGAGGAGCCCACGGTGGCCATGGCCTTTGTCTACTTTGAGAAGCTCGCCCTCAAGGGAAAGCTAAACAAACAGAACCGGAAGCTTTGTGCTGGAGCATGTGTGCTGTTAGCAGCCAAAATCGGAAGTGACCTCAAAAAGCATGAAGTCAAACATCTGATTGATGTAAGTGGTCCATGTCCTTATGGCTGGGGTTGCACATGCTCCAGTCCAGTGTCATTCTCACGGCCATGGAAACCACTGTCATGGGGTCTTGTGGGCGGTGTGACCCGCAGAGCGTCCATCAGACACACTGGGCCCAGCAGACCTTGGCTTCCTGGGGCCTTGGTTGCCTCCTCTTTGGGGAAGGGTGTGGTTTCTCTTTTCTTTTAAAGGAGAGCCCGCCCTGGCTGGTTTGGCTCATGGACCAGAGAGTCCCAGGTTTAGTGCCCGGTTCCTGCTAAGGGCACGTATCTCGGTTGCAGTTTGTCCCCTGCCCCCTGTTGGGGTCATGTGGGTAGCAACCAGTTGATGTGTCTCTCTCACATCAATGTTTCTCTCTCTCTCTCTCTTCCTCCCTCTCTCCCTCCCTCTCTATCTGAAGATGTATGCAAAAATATCCTCGGGTGATGATAAAAAAATTTTTTTTTAATTAAAGGAGAGCCCCATGAAATTAAGGAAATGCTGATCTCCTTAGGCAAATATATGAATGCCTGTTTCAAAATACTGTGTATTCATAGAAAGTTGGAGCCATGGGAAAGCCAACAGATTAGGAGACAGTTGCCATTGAAAAGACAGTTTGTTGCAGTTCTCGAGAGGAGGAGTGTCTTAGCTCACACTGCCATACATTTATTTCTTACAGTTCTGGAGGCTGAAAGTCCAAGATCAAGTGTCATCTACTTCAGGGGCTTGCAGATGGCTGCCTTCTCACTGTCCTCGCATAGAAGGAAGGGAGGGGACACTTTTGGTCTCTTTATATAAGGGTACTAGACACAGCATAAGGACTCCATCCTCATGAGCTCCTCCTAACCTGGTCACCTCCCAAAGGCCCCACTTCCTAATAGCATCACATTGGAGGTTAGCATGTCAACATAGGAATTTAGAGGGACACAATAATTCAGTTTATAGCATGGGGCCACACCATGTCTTGGGGGTCATGCAGGGGGTTAGCAGGGTTGGTCAGGGGTCAGAGGAAGAGGGAGAAACATGGGCAGGAGCCTTTACTGCAGTTTTTGCAGGAAAGAATGGGCAAGGCAGGGTGAGCAGGCTTAGGACTGGCTAGTTGAATCATTTCAGTGGGCTCTGGGGCATAAGGGCTGTGCTAGTTACTGGTACCTGGTTCTGGGTGATCGAGCAGGTGGATAACCCAGAGAGTGAGGGCCAGTCAAGTAGGTGGTTGCGGTGTGGGCTCTAGATTGGTCAGTTTCTAGATTTGAAAAGTGTACTCACAGGGGAGTTGTTCACTTTCTTCAGGAGTTGGCTGACCCTGGGTGGGTCCCAAGGTCCCAAGGTCCCAAGAAGTCCAAGCATCAGAATACAGAAAATAACTCATGGTTACTATAATGCCCCCTGTGTTTAGCTTTGTAGCTGTCTTCACTAGCAAAGAAGCAGAAAGGGAGCTAATAATGTTTCTCCCTACATAAAAAAGAGTATTCTTTTTTTTTTTTTTTAATTTACCATTTTAATTATTTTTAAGTGTACATGTCAGTGGCGTTGAGTACATCCATATGTCTTAAACCATCACCACCGTTCATCTCCAGAACGCTTTGATCTTGTAAAACTGAAACTCTGTACCCATTAAACAGGGACTCCCACTTCCCTTTCCCTCGAGTCCCTGGCAACCACCATTCCACTTTCTGTCTCTATACTTTTGACTACTCTACGTACCTCATGTAAGTCGAATCATACAATATTTGCCTTTTTGTGTTTGGCTTCTTTCACTTAGCATAATGTCTTCAAGTTTTATCCACATGGTAGCACTGTCAGAATTTGCTTCCTTTTTGGGGGCTGAATAATATTTCACTGTATGTATACACCACATTTTGTCTATCCATTCATCCATCAGTGGAAGAAATAGTATTCCTTAGGTCAGTGCTTTACTGATTTCAAGAAATGGGACCAAATCATCGAGCTCGTACAGTAAATATTTTTAGGAGCATGGAGATGATCTTTTGATACCAGTAGAATCCATAGGTTTACATGGATGTTTGCTGAACGAATGGCTCTTTAGAAGTAACAAATATTAATAAAAATTATGTGATATTATGCATTTAATCATTGTTGAATAATATACCACCCAGCAAAAGCTGATGGTATTAATGCAGAAAATAATGGTAATGGTTTGACAAGCTATTTGCAGTAGCAGCTAACCTAACGAAGATCCCATCCCAGTGAAAATCTGAATGCAGTCACCAAGTACTCTGCTTGTGAGGTTGTTCTTTTATCATTAGGCCAAAGCAGAATGTACCATAGCGAAAGTGAGGCCTTCTCTGCCTACCGCTCCTTCTCCTCCCCTTCTACTCCAGCTGCCCCTAAGCTGGGTGGATGCGGAAGCAGTGCGGGAAGTGAGCCCCTGGGCACAGCGCGCAACACTGGGCACTCGGCCTCTGCAGATACGCTCAAGCCACGTGACACTCAGAGAGTGGGGTGACCTCACGGTCCTCGTGTACAAAACAGAAAGACCAAACTACGTGTAATAAGCTCACCCAAGTCTGAACTTTCCCGGGGGTTATTACTATTACAGGTGATTTGCTATGGTGTTAGTCTTGCCCCTAAGCCTGAATAACCTAGTTGTAATAGTAGAGTTTGAGTCCCGGTTAAGTTTGAATCTCAGCATTGTCATTTACTGCCCCTGTCATTGTGGACAAATTACTTAACCTCGTGAGCCTGTTTTCTCATCTGTAATTGGACATAAATGTAACGTCAACCTTCTAAGATTATGGAGACATTAAATGAAGTCACGGGATGTATGTGAGACACCCGCAGACCGAGGGGCCTTGGAAAGGTTCTGTTCCTCCTCCACCAGAACTGAGACCTCCCTTCCTTCTCTACCGTCTTGCCCACGGTCAGCAAGCTCTCTGTAAACCCCCGCTGGCTGATGAGGCGAGCCACTGCCTGTGGAGAAAGCCCAGGATTTTTATTGTAAAGCTAAAATCCTCTTGGTTTTCTTTGATTCTGTTGCAGAAACTGGAAGAGAAGTTCCGGCTGAATAGACGAGAACTGATTGCCTTTGAATTCCCCGTGTTAGTGGCCTTGGAATTTGCCCTTCATTTGCCAGAGCACGAAGTCATGCCCCATTACAGACGCCTGGTCCAGAGCTCCTAGCACAGGCCCTCGAGGGCCAGGGATGCTTCCTCTGAGCTCGTGGAGCTGCACTACTACTGGAAATGCAAAAATAGAACTCAACATACCAGGCTTGTTCCTCTCGACGTGTCTTTGTGTAGAAGCAGTACCGGGAAGTTTTCAGGGAGGCTTTGGTCTGGCCAGCCGAGGTGAGCTGTGAGCTGTTCCCGACTCGGCGAGGGAAGGGGGACCTGACACAGAGGCCCTTCCGACTCCACTGGCGAGTGTTCTTAGCCTGCTCCACCCCAGGCTTCCTCCCGGGCACACACAAACCTTGCAAGCGTGGTCCAGAACCTTCTCCCCAGACCCACTCCAACTCAGAGTGTGAAGTTCCAGAGCGGGGAGGGGAAGACAATCTGCAGAAGTTGGGGGAAAGCTTTGAAAAGATACCCTCACTGTGTCAAAAGAGTGTGCCAATCTATTTTTGTATCAGCTGTTGAAGTGTACTTTCCCCGGGGCGTGTGCCTGAGTGAGTGTGTCCCTGTGTCCCAAAGCCAGCCCCACCCTCTCAGAGCAGACCTCAGCCTGGGGTCATGAGCCAGGCTGACCTTCGGCAACTATTGCTAGATAACGTTGGATAAGGATCCCTCTCTCCGTACCAGATTGTCTGACATCCTCTGCCCTTAGAAAATGACGTTGTTTCTGTTACTTCTACCACCCACGGGACAAAACAAGTTCTCAGTGTTGGACGGGGCGCTCCCCGTGTCTCCATCACACCCTGTGCATGGACGGAGCCTTCGCACTTTCCCACGTGGAGACGGCTGGGGTTGCGCTCCGTGGTGTGTGCGTGCTCCTGTGCTCTATGTTAGAGTACACAATAAGCACATTTGTTGTGCTACATATATGTAAGTGTTTTATAAAAATCCAGAAGAAGGGTAAGACACATGATTAGTATTTTGAGACTTTTGACAGCTGGGACCAACTGTATCTTGAGTTGAGGTTGTGTCCACTGAAGAGGCAGTGACTCTTATTACCACGTACACAGGGCTGTTACTGCAGAATTTTAATCATGACTTGTAGACTTGCTGGGACCACCTGTATGTCACCACGCCATCACCTTCTAGCCGCACGAGAGAAGTGCCCACTGGGGTTCGCCTGACTGGAGAAAGCCTGTGGCTGTGTAAAAAGAGAATTAAAGTATTTTATTGTTTCTATATACATGTATGTGTATATTTACATGCCTCACTAGTCACCCCTCACCCTGCATCACTGATTCATCGGCCACCATTCCCACCTGATCTCACACATAGACGTGAAGCTTCTCACGTCACCCGGAGAAAGGGCAGGGGGGGGGACCGAGGGACTGCAGCTTTAGTTAGCAGAGCTGGGAAGAATCCGATAGTCACACACCACAGAGACATTCAGGAAGCTGCTGGGAGAGCCAACGGGATGAACTTCTCCAGAGTCGTAGATTTAGCTGAGTTTAGTCCTAAATATTTTGTTAACAAGTTTCCTTAGCTGGATTTGGTTTAAGACAGTGGTTTCATTGGAGAGTATGATGAATGTGATCTCTTTGGCTAGGTCAACGAATATTTAAGGGCAGCAATTGTTTATGAAGTACATTTAGGAAGGAAGCACACAGCATTCAGATCGTCTCCATCCCCTGAAATCCAACATGCCCTCGACCGTCCTCTCCTGGTGTCTGTCCCTGCAGCTCTCCGAGGAGTCCCGGGTTCTTAGCCCGGCTCTGGCGAGTGCCTGGGGTGGAAAGCTGCTCGGGGACGTCCGACGGATGACATGGGCCACCGGTCCAGATGTGGGGAGGACAGCCTGTGTCCTTCCTGTCTTCACATCCAGCTAATATTCTTGAATATGGGGCTCTTTATCTGGTTTTATCTTTTACTTGGTAGACGTAGGTTGTTGGTCCTTTTTTTTTTTTTTTGTGAAAGACTCCTTAAATTTTACACTCTATTGTGGCCTGTGGATTTGTTGAGTGACGAGTTTTATCGGTTTTCATTTAGTTGTGGCTGCTGGGGATGAAAGGTTTTTGTCAAGAGGTTTCCTCTTGCTCGTCCATAACATGAGCTTTCCGAAGGGAGAGAGGGCTGGGCAGGGGGTGCTCGCTGGCAGAGCCGCTCAGTGACGCGGTGCATCTCGGACCCTTCCCCAGCCCTGGGCCCTCGGCCTGTTCTAGAAGACCCTGCGGCCCTGCCCTGCCACCCGCCACAGCTCCTTGCAAGCCTCACTCCCTCTCAGGCCTGCCCTGAAGCCTCCCAGCTCCCCCCGCACAGATGGCTCTGGGGAGGCCCTGCCCAGCCACACGCTCCGGGGGACGGCACTGACAGCGCTGCCTGACTTGGTTTCCCCAGACTGTCCTGGGGGTCCCCTCTTCTAATCAGCCTTGACAGTTCAGTCAGGTAAGAGATGGGAACAGACCCAGCACAGACTGATGCAGCCGCCCTTGGGAGGCAGCGGGCTTCCGCTGCTCTGTCCCGAAACACTGGGCCCTCTGTGCCCTGCCCGGGAAGGGTCTGGTCCCTGTCCCCCGAGTGCCTGCCCTTGGGGACGGGACCTGGGCCGGGGCCAGCCCCGTGACACTTAGTATAGCCACTACTTTCCCTCTTTTCTCCTAGTCAAACTGTTAGAGCAGGAAACCCACACCAAAGCTGTTTGTTTTCCTAGCTGGGGTGGGAGGGGGTGGGTTTGATCAAAAATTACTCTACCATAGTTTCTGTCACCCTCTCCCAGCAGGGCCATTCTGGGGTGACCCCTTAAGCTACATAAATCACTCCATACCATAGACCATGCCTTGCTGATGTGGGAACAGGGGATGTTGGGGGTTCCTTTCCACTCCTTCCATTACTCCGTCCTGTGCCCTTCATCCCCCCAACAGCAAATAAAGCTGTTTACTGCCCCCCTGCTGCTGAGTACTTTTCCTCTCGCTGACATTTCCGGTCCAGCCCTCTCCTCCCGAGCCCTGGCTGTCTCCATACTCAGGACCTGAAGCCTCCAGGCCTCCACCCCCTGCCTTGCAGCCTGCAAAGGCAGAGGAGAGGGTAGCTGGAGAATGAAGCCAATTTGAGCCAGGAAGTTTGGTGACCTGTTAATTGTATTATCTGTCCGGCTGTGGAAGAAGAAAGGGGTTTTCTGGGGAGGGGGTATATCCCAGGGACCCACCTCTCCCAGAGGCAGCCTAAGTTCATGTCCCAAGGGCTGTGGGGTCATTTGGTTGAGGACAGCGCGGGCCAGGTCACAGCAGGGCCGATTCGGAGCGTGCTGAGGGCTAGAGAAGGGAGGAAACATCAAGACTATGAGTCTGGAGCCACAGAGCGTTAAGCCAACCTAAAAGGAGGCTTCCTGCCCTGGCTGGTTTGGCTCAGTGGTTAGAGCGTCTGCCCGTGGACCAGTGAGTCTTGGGTTCAATTCCGGTTAAGGGCATGTACCTCGGTTGCGGTTCGTCCCCAGCCCTGGTCGGGGTCATGTGGGAGGCAACCAGTTGGTGTTCCTCTCACATTGATCTTTCTCTCTCCCTCTCTCCTTTCCACTCTGAAGAAAAATAGAAAAATATCCTTGGGTGAGGATTTAAAAAAAAAAAAAGGGCGCTGGCCAGTTTGGCTCAGCGGTTAGAGTGTTGTCGGCCTGCGGTCCACAGAGACCGGGTTCAGTTCCCACTAGGGGCACGTTCCTCGGTTGCAGTTTGTCCCCGGCCCTGGTTGGTCGTGTGGCAACTGCTCGATGTGTCCCTTTCTCGTCGATGTTTCTCTCTCTCTCTCTTCCTCTCTATCCCTCCCACTCTGTCTCAACAAAAAATGAAAAAATGTCCTTGGGTGAGGATTTTTAAAAAAGCAACAACAACGACAAAAAAACGGAGGCTTCCAGAAGAGCAACTGCAATGCAGGACTGAGGTGAAAGGCTGTCAGGCAAGAAAATGATAGGCGATGAAATGGTAGAAGTTCCTCTTACAGCCCAAGGGACCAGCGCAGATCGGGAGTGCTGGCCAGAGCGTGCTGGCCAGACAGCCCTGCCCACGGAGGGCCATGCAGACTTGCAGATAGACATTCCGGGAAGTCTGTAAACACAGGGCCGACTGAACGAAGCCTGGTGAGGATGGCACTTGCCTATATACCATCTCACAAAAGTGGCAAGAATTGATGGGAAAGGTCAAGAAGACCACACGCCCCTTTAAAGAAAGGCAATTTGGCTACAATGAACCTGACCTTGACCCAACCCTCCTCAGGGCACTGATAGTATCCCGGCCCCTCCCCGCCAGCTGGCCATTCATTGCCCCAGAACCTCCGAGTTCTCGTGTTCTCCCGAGTCCTTTTCTGAGGGCCTCCTGAATGGGAGCTGGTTGTAAACGACCAAAAGAAAAACTCAGTGGGTCCAGTAGGGAGGCTGATGGCATTTTTGGCCAAAAGCACTCACTATAAATTTTTTTTTAACCCTGACTTAAGAAAAAGGAAGCAGATGCCTTTTGAGGTATATCTGGAAATCCCTGGTGAAACCTACATACTGTTTTATGAGATTCTAAGTCAGATATATGTTTTTCCTAAGGCAACTGCCTTCTCCCATGAAACCGATTTTGATTTTTCTTTGCAAAATAAAAACAAGACACAAATGGAATGGATTACTCTCCCCTCCCCTTCCCTGTGTGTCTTGGAGAGAGTGGCAAAGTAGTTTTCGAGGAAAGCCCAAGGGCGAGAGGTTTTTCTGGGAAGAGCCTGCAGCCAGCGCAGGAGGGGCCAGAGCGGAAGGGCCAGGGTTCAGCGGCCCTGAGGGAGCCGGAGGCGGTGACCTCGGGAGAGTGCAGAGAAGGGCAGGAAGGGCAGCAGAGCGACAGACAGAGCTCAGCCAGCCACTGGATGTGCTTGCCTGTGAAGGAGATCCTGACACCGCCGCCACGGGTCTGGAGGACCACGTGAGATGCTGCAGCAACACCTGAAGGAGCTCCACACATGGAACCCATTCTTCTTATTACCTCTCACTGAACTTGGCTGAGTTAGCAGAAAATACATCAACAAAGCCCCTTGCTGTATAGAGGATGCTCTTGGAGCACAGACATGGCCAACGGGGGAAGACACAGTGACCCATTTGAATTCTCTGGGTCTAGGTGGCCTAGGGTCCCGGTGGAGTGCACAGCCGTACAGCCCTGCCCTGCCAGGTGCCCAGTTAGGGGGTGCTGGGAGGCAGGCTGGAATTCAGCCCTACTTCATTCACAAAGTCATGCTGTGGCATAAGCCTGGAGAAAGGTGAACCTTCAGAGTTGCTGGGGGCAGGGTGAGGGGGCAAGGGGCAAAGGTAGAGGGACCACCTGGTCCCGTTGTGAGCCCTGTGAGATGAGCCACACACCCTGTCCCCGGTCTCATGGCGCTGCTGGCTGCTGGAGCCCTGGGGTGCAGCAGGGTTACATGGGAAGACCCTTCAGAGGACTAGTAGGCCACGTCACCTATGGCCAGGGATGTGGAGGGTTTGAGGGTTCCTTAAAAGTCCTGAGAAGTAAAAAGGTGTTGTACAGGACAAGTAGGGGCAGTCAGGGGCTGCAGTCCAGCAACTGCCCAGGCCACCGCTGCAGGGAGGAGAGGGAGCTGGAGAGGCCAGAGCAGGGGCGGTGTGAGGAGAGGAGCGAGGGTGTGGGGACCCAGCTCTCCACCCATCTCTACCTGGTGGAGGCCAGGCAGGTGATCACTTCTTGGAAGGGGTCAAGGTAAGGGTTTTGGAGGGGCACATACTTAACACCCGGGAGTCACATTCACACTGATGTCCAGAGCCCTCTCCCAGCTCCTGTCCCTCTTTGCCTCACAACGTTACGTTCAAGCAAGCTGACCTGCTGGGGAAACACAAGGTCACAGGGGCCTGAAGCCAGCACTTCACCCACTGAGCTTCACACAACAACTGGTGGCTTAGCGGGGCTGAGACACCCGAGTCCCATGGCCGGCCTTTCCATGGCCGGTCTTCACATTTCCAAGAGAAGGGCCATCCTGTCAACGAACCCCCGAAGTACAGTCGGGGTTGCACTCGGTCTCTGAATCGCTTGCATGCGGAGTTCCGGGCCTCGCCCCCCAGCCTGGCCCCAGCTGGATGGACTGCACCAGCCCCGGGCTGCAGAGCGTGGGGTGGGAGGCTGGGAAGGGCCGAGATCCCGGCGCCGGCCATGCGCGGAACCCTAGATGTGGAGCTTTTGC